GCCGCCGCTCACACCCGCGAGGTGACGTACACGGAGTGCAGGCGCCCGGCCAGCGTGGCCTGCAGCTCCCGCAGGGGCTCCAGCCCTTGCACCTTGCTGTTCCTGCTGTAGATGAGCTGCTTGAAGGAGTCCTGCTCCAGGAGGGGGCTCATGTGCTTCAGGAAGAAGCCCTCGCAGAAAGAGGCTAGTTCAGGCGCGTTGTGAATCTGCAGAAAAGACCAACAGCCGTTAGTCGGGTGTGTGGCTCAGACCAGAGGGCAGACTAGGGCGTGTGGACTGCTCTAATCCGACCCAGAAAATGTTGAAGTGAAAAGCGTAGGGAAGGATCACAGTAACAGTGGGAAAGTGCTAAGTATAGGACCCTGCTGCTTTTGCCTGCACAGGTGTGAGCAGAGCAGCGCGCCAGCTTTTTTAGTTGTCTCATGATGGTGCCGTTAGCAGAGGCCCTGGAGGAGGGGAGCAGCTGGCTGATGAAGGCCCTGGGATACCCGTGTCGCTGGACGAGCGGGGAGTTTGTGCCGCGGTGCGAAACAGCAGGTGCCAGCAGATGTGGCACACAGCGTGTGCCAGCAGGGACATGGGTCACGGGGTGTGAACTTAATTCCTGGAAAAAGATGCTGGATGTGGGAAAAGAGGCAAGTTGCAGTACTAAAACACATCAAGTGGCCTTCTGGCTGTGATCTGGTTCCCTTAGCTACAGCATCACTGGGGAGATTCAACAACAGGAGCACAATGACATTGAAGTTCAGTATTTGGAAATGCCATTTACACCCCTTCCTCGCACTCCCCCAAAGTCTGTGCAAATGGTAACGTGATGAAAGGTACCACAGGTACCGAGAATGGCCTAGTGGGCAAGTCAACAGCTTTAGAAGACGTACGTACTAGGGCTGCAAGCTCTGCCATTGCTGTGAGCATTACGAGCGCAGCCTGCGTGCGCTGGTGCCCATGTGTGGTGTTTGGTTACCAGAAGCAGCCTGCAGAAACTGCCTCACTGTGACCCTTCGGTAGGAGCCTGGCAGGTACCTTTGCATATTTGTAGATGTGAACGGAGTTCTCCATGCTGATCGTCTGGGCACAGAGGATTTCACAGTGTCTCTGGAGGCCGTCCAGTTGGAACAGGCTGGCAGCTGACAGCAGCTATTAGAACAAGAGAGAAGCCATGAGAGATCAGGAGCCTGGAAGAAGACAAGCAGCACCAACGCTTCCTTCCCTGAAGGATCTGACTCCCTTTTTATGTCTAAGTCCTTAAGGAAGACCAGAAAAGCTACTGGATGCCTAGATAAGGCAGCAGAGAGATTTTTTCACCCTTTGTTAGGAAAGGCTTACTGCTGCAGGAAGGTTCTCCTCTTCTTCTTGGGGACTAGTTTAATCTACCTGTAAGGAAAAACACTTCTGGAGCCTAACAGCTTATTCGCTTCATGCAGCATCTCTTTGAAAAGAACTGAGTTATGGAGGCAAAGTTCAGTGGGTAGTTTTAGGCAACGTTGGGACCAGTAGCACTGCAGTGATGTAATTTTATCTAGCCTCTCACTGATGTGCTACAAAATAAGTGGTAGCTGTTGGTATTTCCAGGGATTTGTGTTTCAAAGCTGTGAAACACAGCTTTAAGTTTACTAGCTGGAAAGCTTGTTAACAGCTACTGGGTTTTGCCATGCAAGCCCTGCTTATACCCCAGTGCCCGTGACAAGACTTGGAAGAAATCACTTACCTCTAAGATATCAGTGGTGGGAATTTCCATAGATTCTGTTCCTCCATAATATAAATACTGCATCAGCATCTGAAATGGGGAGAGGGGCAGGCATGAAGCTGTTGCCACTGCGGTCACACAGGCTGCGAGCAGCCCTGCTCCCTTGCTGGGCAGAGGGGACTCGTGTGCTACGCTGGCTCTTGCTGCTGCGTTTCTCTGGGTTTGCAGATGTGCTGCTTTCTAATATTCCACTGAGGATTTGGGGCCGAGGGTGACGGCGCGTCTCCGAGCACTGGGAGCATCCCTGGAGCAGACTAAAGATCCCTTGTGGCTCAGTTCGGCATAACTGAGATTACTATAGAACATCATAATCTCCTTAACCCACCTCATTTTATTTAACATCAAATTGTCTCTGTGAAAGACTTCACTCTCTTCAATTCACTGCTGTCCCCAGTGTAAAAAGGCCTATCTTCAGAAACCTTTTGATGTAAAAGAACTCTAAGGAGACCCGTTTAAATATTTTTCATCCTTCCTCTGCTTTTTTTATGGTCATGGTCTAAGCTACAGAGGCTGGAGGCTGCCTGCATAGTGCCAAACTATCACTGCCCCTTTCCAGTACAGCAAAGATCTTCTTAGGGCCAATTTCATTCCTGCGAGGAGTGGAGGCACTGCTGCCGACCAGCTGCTTACGTGCATCAGAGGAGGACAAAAACAGAGGAAAATCCTCAGCCCTGTGGTGAAAAGTTACACAACCTTTCAGCTTTTCTGCAGTCTCCCATTTCCCTTTCTCTCTAATTTGAAATGCAGAGCTAGAAGGCTGGAACAACTTTTAGCTATCGCATTTCACTGACTTTTTTTTTTTTTTAACCTTTGGTTGTGTGTTAAGTACCTTGCTTTCCCTCCATCGTGAATGAATCTCCCTTAGGTCCATTAAATACAGAAATGTCATAAAAGCACAGTGAAATTCTCAGTTTCAAGCCCTTCTCAAAAGGGACACCATCACTTTCTGATCATCTGATTTGAATTAATATGAAGCTTGGCAATCCTGCTGCTCTAACTAGGCTTCCTTTTTTTTGCTTAACACAGCATGAAAATTGTGCCCGTGACCCTTTTGTAAGTACACAGCTACATTCAGAAGAGACTTATTTGTCCTGCTTTACAAAGAGTCAATTGCCTAGTAAGAAAATAAAAATATAAGCTGGAGTTCCTTGTTCCAAGGCTGGTCCTAGCTGAAAGCTGTGGTACAGATCAGAACCCTCCCGAAACGCAGCCAGTCTCTACTTGCAGAATTATCGCTGATCTTAAACCCTCACCCTCTTAGCTTCCAAAATATGGGAGAAGGGGAGAAGAGTGAAGGAAAGGTGGAATAAGTTACATACCTTGAAAATATTGTATTTCATATCGCTAATTTCAACAGTCTTGCTGCCTTGGCTGTCTTGCTCTGTTTTATTGGTCATTAGGGTCTTAAACCTGAGAATGGTTTTAATAGATTTGTGTTAACAGATTTCTGTAATACAGTACTTCAAATCCCTGCTACCTATCGACAAACAGCTGAAGCAGAGAGAAAATAAAGATCTTTGTAACTCGCAGCCGATAACCCAAACATTTCTTTCCTATCCAGTGTCAGTTAGTTTGCAGCTTCAGGGGCAATTTAACCTGTAAGTGGCCTGGGTTTGATTCAGCCTCGCGTGATAATAGTTGCCAAACACCATTAACTTGCCCATAGCAGAGGCAGTTGGGACACGGGCTCCAGGGTGTCTGGAGCAAGCGTGGCTCTGGCTGTCGCACACCCAGAGAGCAGGGAGGAGCAGCTGGACACGTGCACTCCAACTACTGCACAAGGTTTCCAGGGAAAATTACTGGTTGGTTTATGTCACTACAGCCCTGTGATGGGCTAGAAAAACCCATTCTTACTCTCCTGCTGCTCTTGAAATGCGCGAAGATGATGTGGCTTGACCCCACAGACCCAAATTGCAGCCAGTGGCCCTTCCCCTGAGCTCTCTTGCCACTGTGAGTGATTGGGAGCGAGTCACACAACGGACTCAACCTTCCGCAGCAACCTGTGCGCAGCTCTGGAACACGACTCACCTGTTCGAGGCAGTAACCAGCAGAACTTTGTGCGCGTAAAATAGCTTTCCTTCTACTAAGAAAGTCACGTCAGACATCTCTTTGTTGTTTAGAAAGTGAGGATCTGTTAGGGTAAGAAAAAATATGAGATAGATCATTGTTTTGTTATTACTTTAGGGAAACTGTGGATGCTTTGGAAAGACAGACCACAAGCATCTCACTGTTTAGGTGAGCGACTCACCTAGCCGAGCTGGTAGCGTTTTTCGGATTTCGGGAATGCTCGGGATAGGACTGCTGCCGTAGCAGTGGGTGAAGATGGACGCAAGCTGCTGATTGATGGAGTCATTCTGCAAGGAAGACAGAACAGGTTTCATCAGCACTTGACAGTGATCAGGTTTTAAACGTGCTCCAGGAGTTCACTTGAGGCTCGTGGCACCCATACTTGGAAGGAGAACCTGCCAGCAGTGGGAGCAGCGCGTGGCCTGAGCAAGCACACGCTGGGAGCATGTGCTCAGTAACATTTACAGGCCAACATTATCAAGGGAAAAAGCCTATCAGCAAAAGCTCTGCACTCCTCTCCTTGCTCTGCCACAGCTGAGCCCACGACATGTGCTCAGCAGCACTTGATTCACAACATCCAGCCCTGCCAGATACTGGGCTCCGGCTGGTTGTCCAAAATTGCTTTAATTGCAGTAGTAGCTCTTGCTGTTAAAGGACAGGTTTTAGGACCAATGTTGTTGCGAGCGATTAGGGAGGTATCGGGAGCCACATCCACCCCTGAGCTTCCCCATGGCACGTTTCAAATGCCTGCCTGCCACGGGCAGAGTGCAGGCACCCTCCTCCTCCTCCTCCTCACACGAAGGGCAAGAGCCTCTTGGAAAAGAACAGGGGAGAAGCCAGGTGAGGTGTCTGAAAGGTGAGGCAGCTAAACCAGGGATCGCGGATAAAGTCCTTTCTGTAACTGCTTGGAAAGAGGGAAAGCACGGTCAAAGGCAGCCTTTAAATAAAATAATTAGAAAAAAAGTGCTGAACAAAGGCAGTGTTCAAAAAACTCCTAGAAGATGCTGAACCTGAGACCTGAATTGCCTGGTATTTTTATTGACAATTTGTCCTGTGACATTCACAAAAGCAAGGGCCAAACTAGACTTCAGCTTTTATTTTCGTTGAAATGGATGGCTTTGCCATAGGGCTGCCTTTGTCAGGAAATCACAATGGGCTGTATGTGAATTTAGATAAACCCTACAGGGTCATCTTTATACCCTAGCTCAGCAGGGACTTTGCATAATAGCAAAAGGCCTGTCTTGAACACTTGATTTTGGTACAGTAAACAAAGGTAACAATTACTTTGCTGGTTTTGAGGATCTCAAACATGAGCTGCAGTCCTTCGTTGACCAGCTCTTCGTTGTAGTCCTCTTCCTTTATGGTGACAAACTCCCGCAGGAGGGTCTGGACCACCGAGTAGCGAGACTGGTAGAAGGTTGTCCGCAGTGACTCGATCCACACGTGGAGCTTCCACGGGACTCCTGGAGCCATAACAGAAAGGACAGTGAGAGGTGACAGCTGTGGGCAGATACTGATAAACAGCAGCACTGACGAAGATCTTTACATTTTCAAAAGCATGTCCTACCTTTTGATCCTAGGTATTCTTTTACCGTTAAATCATGTAATATCTGATATTATCCTTGTTTTTGAGACCAGCCACTTTAGCACTGACTTTTAGGTGTCAGGACATCTGACTAAGGGAAGTGCCCTTGTTTTTGACTCTTGGGAACAGAGGACCCAGCTTTTCAAAAGTGAGAGGCACCCCGGATCAGTGGGCAGTTGAAAAAGCAAGTGACCTGCGCAGAGGGCAAAAAAGCAGTTTTGCTGCCTAACTAGCGGCCGGTGCCCAAAGCGGGAGGCAGCGCTCACCAAGGCTGCGCAGCTCCATGGTGATGTCCACGTAGCCGTGCTCGGCGCTGTAGTACATGGCCTCCTGCAGAGCCTTCATCCTCGTCTTGCAGAGCCTCACTTGCCCCTCGCTGGAGCCGCCCTGGCTCGAGGCGTCGCTCTCCACTCCCTCGGCCAGGATCTCCTCCAGCGAGAGGACGTCGCCCTTCGCTTGCTGGGGCTGCGTCAGCAGCTTGCGGAGCACGTTCCTGGGGAGGAAAAAGGTGTCACTCGGTACTAAATTACGTGCCAAAAATGCAGGCAGGACTCGGCAGACATCCTGAGGTGCCTTAAGGGTGTCAGTGGATGTTTTGGAGTGCTGGGACAAAACGATTTTTATTGCAGGCTTTGGCATGGAAATAGGCTTCCTTCTGCCAGTCCTGAATGCGGTAAAATCCTAAGCTCTAAAGGAAGATTTTTACCAGAAGGGCTGTTAGAAGCCTTGTTTTTTTTTTCCCAATTGACCATCTTCAAGGGCTGTTCTGTTGTTTTAGTCAGACTTGTTTCCTGCGTCCATATATTGAAACCATAAAAAATGACAGTTGTGCATCATTAATTCCAGGGAGACTTTTTTGGTTTGGAATTTCACCCAGCAGTCACAAGAATCACAAGAAATGGCCTTTCTTGTGTCCAAGCAGCACCTTTGCAAAGCCTGCACCGCTGTCTCCCTCGGGACAGCTGGGGCCACCTGCAGCAGCCATGTCCCTGCCACGCGGCACGGCTCGAAGCGCTCAGTCTGTGCCGTGGCACCACCGTACCCTTCGGGTTCAGGAATCAGCCTCCAACTTCGGAGTTTTCGTGGTTGCATGTTACAGAAAATAGCGGCCTGGGAATGGAGTTAGGAAGAGACCAGTGTAGAGCTTTACACTGCAAATAACAAGATTAGATAGGTCCAATTCTGCTGAGTTTTGGGCTTTGAGTTTGGGATATTTTCTGTGATGTAGCAGGAGGTGCATTTGTGGCACCTCTGCACAGAAAGGCTGTGTGTGAGGAAGGCAGCTACTCTGTAACCTGCTCCTGGCTGCTGCACTGCTGTGCAGCCCCTGGCTGTCGCTGCTCCGCTCCACGAGCGGCCTATGCCTGTTTCAGTGGGCTCCTTTGCTAACCTGTCTTCTGGGAATAGACTTGGAAGGGTTGCTAGGTGAGGTTTTAAGTAACATCTTATTTCAAAATAACAACCCTGCACACGGTCAGGGATGGAAAACCAGCAAACAGGCTTTTCACTGTTTTAATGACCCATCTCTTAGTCAGTCATCCAGAAACCAGACATCCAGTCAACCAAATTCCCTTCCACGTTATTTCGGCCACCTTAATGTGACTTGATGCTGTCTCAGAACGTTTACCGATATCTTCATGACCTATCCATAGGTGAAACTTAATTAATAATCTGCTCATGTATGGCCTAAAACCAACCCCCATTCACTTTTGCTTAGTGCTGCCAGACAAGACCAGCAAATAGACGAATAAAAAAATCAAAGGCACTTCTTTTGCATTTGGTACCTTTGACTAAAATGTAGCCCCTTTCTTTTTTCGAAGTTCCAGTTATTGAGTAAGGAAAGACTTATGCAAACTTTCTGGGAGGGATGTAACAGAAAGCAGCAAGCAGTTTAAAGAAGGGTTCTATTCCCCATGCAGCTCAAGCAGAGCACTGTCTGCATCAGCATCAGAACAGCCTGAGACAAGCTGGACCAAAAACTGCTGCTACCAGGACAGTCTTAACACCATCTTCTGAACTGCCCACCCAGGCACTGGGGCAAGGCCTGTGGGATTGAGCCACGTAGCAATGTTGGCGCAAACCTCTCTGCAGGATGAGAGGAAACTCTACCTGTGTCCGTGCGCAGCGGAGTGACTGAAGCAGTTCATATCCTCGTGAAGTGATGAGGACATTCCGTTGAGCTCCAGCATGCTCAGGAGGGGATCCGCGCCTCGGCTTAGCAGTAAGCTGACCAACTCGTAGTTCCCTGGGGAACAGAAAAGAAAGTACATAAACATAAGGATTTTGTTGCTAATTTTCACATCTGGAAGTTATTTAGATCCAAGACTAGACAGCAGTTGTTTTTAAGTTTCTTTGCAGTGCCCTGTGCAAAGAAGGAGGTGTCTCAGTCTTCTACTTTGTGGCGGAGGCTGCTGGCACGAGATGAGAGCTGGTGCTAGTGGCAAAAGCAGATACTTGTTGGCGGCCCATCAGCTCTCGCTGCGTGACGATAACCTGTTGGTCCCTGGCAGCCCTTGCTGGGCCCGCACTAGTGCTTCAGGAGCGAGCCAAGGCGCGCACCAGCACGCAGCCTGCAGCACAGGGGCCCTCCGCGGCCGGCGGGGGTGGCGGGCTGACGGGGCCGCGGGGGGCACCTGCCGCCGACGCCAGCTGCAGCGGCGTCTCCGCGTAGTTGTCTTCCCCGCTGCTGACGGCGGAGCCCTCGACGTGCGCGCCGGCATCCAAGAGCAGCTGCAAGAGATGCACCGGGGCGCTGAGAAAGGGGCAGCGCAGGGAGACGGAGCCCTCCCGCCTCACGCTACGGCCAAAACCTCGCATCAAGGGCAACTTCAGCACTTCCTATTCTCTACTGCTTTACTGTGCTGTTAATACGAATTTATTCTGGTGAAAGGTGCTCAACTGGAATCTCAGAAACTGGAATCTCTCTTTGTAAAAATATTTTATTTATATATTTTTAAACCTTCATGTGAGCGCAGTTTTGCTAGTGCAGTCTCCCAGCTCCAGCAGGCTCTGCAGCCAGAGCTGCTGCTGAGCACAGGATCTCCATCTCATTTAGTTTCATGCTGTGCACAGGAAACAGGGAAGCTTCAGGGAATTAGCCCTGGGGGCCGCAGCTGCCCCTCGGCCCTGCAGCAGCGGCTGCTTCAGGCTTTGCCACACACGGAGCCGGCTTCCCGGCCGAGTGCTGTCACTTGTTTCACAGGAGAAACCACCCCGTGATGCTTCAGACACCAGTTTAGGAGGAATCAGACATCACCCTGCAACTGCAATTACTGAATGAGGAGGTTTTAGGCAGGCTTTGGAAGTTGCAATGAAGAGGCACGCACGGGCTCCAGGGCCAGCCTGGCCTGCAGTAGAGAGGGTCTCCTCCGCTTACCTGAACCACGGAGATGTGTCCGTGCAACACGGCGAGCGTCAGAGCAGTCCAGTGCCGGCTGTCGGGGTGGACCGACGGGTGGCGCGGAGAGGGGCCGGGAACCTGGCACACGGAAGCAGGGGGTCAGGAGCCATCACGGTATCTGCCCCCACCGCCTCTGGACTTTTACATATCTGGCTTTTCACTCTGTAAGTGACAGCCCCTGGGAATGGCAATTAACGCTGCTCAGAGAAGGCGGCCACGGCCGCTCGCTGTGGCCGGTCCCCGGGGCCTGTGTAATGGGCCCGCTGGCTTCTCATAGCAGCAGCTCATTCAGGAGGGGAGCCCTCTTACCCGCCCCAGCAGCATTAGGCTGGCCAGGGCCAAGCACAGCCAGGGCCACGGGGCCTTCAGGAGGCTTTGGAAGTGTTTTTTGTTTTGTTTTTAATCTCTCAAACTCCTGCAGCAATGACTTCTGAAAGAAGCGCCTTACTTTCACGCTGGTACAACAGCTCCTAGAAACGAAGCCTTTGGTGGCCAGGAGAGATGAAAACTGCCCTTGCTAGTAACAAGCTAGTAACAGCTGAGGCCACCGGGCCCCCCAGTACTCACAGGCACATCCAGGTTGGCTCCCGCGTCTATGAGCATTTGCACCATGGCTTCGTCCCCGGCAGCGCAGGCGTACATCAGCGGGGTCATGCCCTGCAGGAAGGAAGGCAGAGGCAGTGACCTACCCGTGCCCGTGATCACTAACTCTGCCTGGCACTGACAGAGGCACTTTAGATCTTAATGCAGAGGGGGCTCTGTGTGTGTGTCTGTGTCTGTGTGTGTGTGTGTGTGTGTGCGTGTGCATGGAGGGGCAGGAAGAGCCCACGTGCGCCTACAAAACGTTTGGTTCCTGGGCCCAGGAAGGGGCAGGTGTGAGAACCAAGGAGCCAGGACTGCAAGGTGCTCCGGGCGATCGCTCCGAGCCAGCCCTGCCCGCCGCTGCGCTGGAGCTGTGCGGAGGCTCCCACGTGACCATTTATTGGATCATTTGTAGATAGATGAAAAAAGGCAGAAAAGAGCACAAGCATACACCAGAGACTTCACCTGGCAAATATTATCTCTATTTGCTATGGTATTTCATCATTCCTATGCCATAAATCAATACCTGTCGCTTTCCTCTCCCTCTCTCTCGTTCTCTATCCCCTTAAGCAACAAACCATGAAGGCTCAGGGATTCATTAGCAGAGAAACGAGCCTTATTTACAAGGAGCTTGTTCCAGAGGCAGCCATGACCAGAAAGGAAATGGCCTAGCAAGGCCCATCCCTGATCCCCTGTTAGAGCTTTTTCCTGCCCTTTATTATTTTGCAAATTTTAAATTTTCCACAGGCAGCATCTTTACTGCTCGTGAGGTACAGATACCCCGTGACAGAGATGGGCCCGAACTGTACAGCAAAAGTAAACCTCACCAAGAGGAGCTTCCCCGTGTCCGCAAAGGCACCTCCTCAGAGCAGTGACAACTCCTGTCTCCCTGCATTTGGGGCAGTTCTGGACATTTGCAAAGGTGGGGAGCTTTGCAAGTGGAGGAGGAAAGAGGGGTTTGTTTC